CCCCTGAGCTGTAAGTATACCTGCGTCACAAGTTGTATGCGTATGCGCGTTTGATTACTTGTTTTCATGCCCTTTTTTCACTAAATTTAATAGTTTGGAAAGTGTGAATGGATGTTGTATATATAATTTTTAATTATCCTCATTTCTATTATGAGAAAATACTAGGCAAGATCTATATGTATATACGTCTTAATGGACCGAAACATTTCTTACCATTAAAATAATTTTATTAATTTACAAATTTTGTAATTCTCATCTCTTACCTTTCCTTTTCTGTTCATCTCTTTTCATCTGTTTTTAATATACCTTCCAATTAATATACCTTCTTATTATTACATGTGACTGAATTATTCACGCTGCTGCCGCTGCTTTTTCAGCGTGATCAGGAGGTGGTGAACAGAGAGCTGGCACATGGTATGATGAAGATGAAAGAATTTCAAAAACGCCGTGAAGCCAGTGTAAGTGTTGTAGAGATTTTAAAGATCCAAACAGTGAATGTCCCTGGCTAGGAGACTGGAAGAAAACGGGGACCTGAAGTCTTCTATGCGTTAACATATGCAATTTGTTTGGCGTTACTGGCCCATCACCGTGGAGAGGAACAGAGTCGAATTTTGATAATCTACTTTTGATAATCTTAAATTGGTTGGAAAACTGGAAATGCCATCTGACTTTCCCATATAAGCAAGCTTGTATATGCAGTGTAAGCTTTTCTACGTAGGACGTTATATATCTTAACGTTATATATGCTACTTCCGCTACAACCGTCACACTGGCGAGTTGTCCAGTTGCAGCACTGAACAGGAATGTATGGTCGACTTGATGGACCGCAACATTCCCATTCACATTTTAATCTTAACTTATTCCATTTCCTTTTTTTATTTCCTTACATCTTACATAAACATATACCAACTAAAATTTAAATTAAAGTCTTAAATGGCTTTTCTTGTTCACATTTCATTTTTTATTTCCTTGCATCTTACATAAACACATACCAACTAAAATTTCAATTAAAATCTTAAATTGGCTGAAAATTCCCGAGTTTTTGTATGTGTTTTGATGAATATACACAATTTTTTAGCCGGAGAAATATCGAGCGCTGAAAATCATCGTACCACCATCGCATCCGTTGGAAGTTTCGGGAGTTGCCGCACCACTTTCACCCATCAAACCACTTTTCGAGGGCCTAACACCACCATCACAAATAATGGCCGAAGCAAAAGCAGCCGGTGCGGCTGCAGGTCGAGCATCTGCAAAGGGAAGCCCCAAAAAAGTACGGAGTGCTGCAAGCTCACCACGCAAAAGTACCTCGTTGGAAGCGGGAGCGGATGAAGCTGAAAAGCAGCAG